AGAGACACAAAAAAAAACAACGAGACAGAACAACTTCTGAATGAGGATACTAAAGAAGCAAATGCCATGATCCTATGTCAGAATAATATACTCGTTATAAATTAATTATTTCAAAATTACTTATTTTGGGGTTAGTTATTCTGAGATAACTTATTTCATTTTATATATGAGATAACTTATTCCATTACTATGATATAAGTTAGTTATTTCAAATATGTCTATCAAACAGAACACCAAACTTTTATCCTAGTCCCAGGAATATATATTCTTATCCGTCACACTAAACACCCCTTAATATTATGTATGCTATTTTATATATATGTTCGTTATAACTAAGTAATGTGCATGAATATGAACATCAAATTCTGTAAATTCCTAGAATTTGGCAATTTCCAATAATCAGTGTGAAAGATAAAGTGTATCTATAAACATCATGGCCATTCCATTTTTGCAGTAGTACTACAGTCCACTAAGGCAGGAACTAGCTAGGCCAATTTGAATAATAGGACAACATGGGTTGCCTCAACAAATATTCAAATTTTTCTAATGGAAAAGGTCTAATAAGTGGGGACTGAAAGATTCTTCATTTTGGTCCCCAATATTGCCATATTGGACTCTGACCTTATGAAAATTGGTAATGACTAAGGGTTGTAAAATTTGCATTTGAAAAGATGACTCGTGCAAATTATGAGTGAGTTAATAACTCGTTCATTTATTATCTAATTCAAATTATTTGAAATTTGAATGACGATATAACTCAAATGTACCTTTAAAAATATTTTTGTTCAAAAGAAAAAAAAACTTAATTAACGATAATAGTAATATATCTAATATTAAAACGTTTGCCCCAAACTATTTCAGCCCAATAAATGACCCTCTCATTTCAAAGAGACTTTTGGTCAAAGAGATTTGACAAGTCTAAGGTTTACTTTGCATTGCAAATTCCAAGCAATAAGGGATTAGTGTCTCTGTCCAATGTGAAATGACCCAAACTATCCCTCTTCCTTTTAAGAGCTCGTTTGGATGAACTTAAAAGGTGATTAAACTGATTTAAAAATCAGTTTTTTAATTTATTAGAGTATTTGACAATGATGAAGGTGATTTATTTTAAGTTAAAAATATTTTTTTTAAATCAAAATCAAAAAATTAGGTGAGAAGTGTTTTTTTTCAACTTAAAAGTCATTTTATGTTGACCAAGTATATAACATTTTTGCCCTTAATTCTTTTATTATTATTATTATTTTTATTTTTTAATTATTTTTATTATTATAATTTTATTATTATTATTTTTTTTTATATTATTTATATTATTATTTTTTATTATTAATATTATTATTATTATTATTATCACCATTATTATTATTATATTAAAACCTTAAATTAATCAACTTTTATCATGTTAACATTAGACATTTTGATAAGTTTATCAGCACATATTTACCAAACACATCAACAACTTATTTTCAACTGAACCACTTATATCCAATACATAACTACTTATTTTAAAAATAAATTTCAGCACTTTTAAAAATATTTTTTAAAAGTTATTTTTTAAGCCCATCCAAACGGGCTCTTATTTTGGAGCTTACTGCTAGGGTGCACCCAAAATAATAGGTAAAGTTTTTTCCACAATTGCACCTTTGTAAAATTTAAACTTTATTATAATGTGGTGTAAATGAAATTACTTCTTATTCAATTAGAAATTTTAAATTAAAATTTCGAATATGAAATAATTCTTAACGGAAAATGTTTTTCTCCGAATAAGGAGGGCCTTATGCAACTCAAATTCGAATTTCACCGTAAATACTAGCATGCAAATGAGAGAAATAAATAAATTATTACTCTAAATTTTAACCTGTATAGACATTTTTAACAGCGCACTTAGATATTAATTCCTTAAGGCTGCTCCGATTAGTGGTCCCAAGATGATCTATAAAGAAATATAGCAAGAGCATCACATCATTTTCATATGTTAAAAATAAATTATTCTTTCCTTCAAGAATTGGGAAAAGAACTTGACGGTTAATTGAAAGGATCAAAATCCGACAAATATCATTTTGTCAAATTTTCAAAACTTAAAAAGCAAAAGCTTCAATATTTAATTCGTTTCACTTCATTTTGTTGAGTAAAGACAATGAAAATAGCATCTTAAAACTCCAACTTTTTTTTAGTCATAATGCACGCAATGAAATAGAAACGTGTAAATTGTTTTAGGGAAGTAGAATAAAGATATACGTTAACTCTGAGTTAAAAGTTAAATTTCTACTAAAAGGATTTTTATGGAACTTTCTTTCACGTATCGAATTTCATAACACGCATTGTAAAACCTACTTATTAGAATATTCAGCAAAAAAAAATTATTCCCCAAAATTAAAATTTAAAATCTCTAATTCAGAATGGAGAGATTACGACGATAATTTCATTTGACATAATAATGATTATTTATGGGTATAAAACTACTACTAGTTGACTACCAAACAAATGTACAAACACATTAACTAAAGTAGCATAAAAGAACAAAAATTGGTAGAGAAATTACTTATTAAAGTAACGTACACAATTTGTGGGCATCTTGCGTGTGTAAAAGTGCAAACCGAATAAATTACATGTAAACACAGTTTTTGGGAAAGGTGTGTCTTTTATATTTGTCAAAAAAAAATAATATTCCATGATATATACCCCTTCAAATTCGTATTACATTACAAGTATTTTATATTTATAAGAAAAAAAAGAAGCACAAGGTCAAAAACATTAAATTTAAAAATATTAAAAGGTGTACAAATATTCCAAGGAGCCCTTCCCTCTTGTTTTCATATTTATAGAAGAGAAAATAATGCATATGCCTAAAACAAATAAGCATAAACTTTATATAAAAAAAAAAAAAGTGAAAGGGTTTATACACCTTTGTCCGTTTATTTATTGCCAAATGCATGCCTAAAAATATGTGATAATACACTTTCAAGCACATAGTAAAATAATTGCATTCCACTATAACACAATCAATAAAATTACATTTTAAGAAGAAAATACAAATGTATCAAAGTTATATGTATATAGTTTATCTTAAAGTCCAAGAATTTGATTAGATTTACAACATATCTTGATGAGGTGGAAATTGAATTAAATAATAATGAATAACTAAAAAAAAATCTAAAAGTGTTTTAAATCATCAAACATATAATTCATATATAAATATATATTTTCATTCAAAAGTTTATAAAAAGTGAATTTATCATCTTCGTTTAATTTATGACTTCGTCATCAATATTTTTTACCTTCCTCTCTTTTGATGCATGTCCAACAAAAGTGTATCAATTATTTTTCTTTTTAATTCAATCTTTTGATTTTATCGTAAGTAATCCCTTAACTATAGCATATGTTTTTCGAGTCGGCCTAAACAAAAGGCTTATTTTTTTAAAAAAAAAAATCTCGAAAAAATAAAAAGATAAGCAAAGGGGAACTCCCATCCAAAAGAAATTAGAGAAAAACACAGAAGATGATGTTTGAGACTGGCCAAAAGATTTTATCTTTTAGTGATTTATTAAAAACACTATATAATTATGTAGGTCTTTTTTTTTCTTTTAAAAATAATAATATAGAATTATATAGGTTGTTTTTCTTATATATGTGCAATTGATGCTACATTGCTACTATTTATTAAAAAAACTACTTCATATATTTTAGCTTATTTTAAAAAAAATCATTAGTCCTTAATTGTAATTTCAAATTTTTCATATAATATATGAATCAACTTTTTTTTTTTAAAAAAAAAAATCTCTCGAGGAAATAGTTCAATAATTCAAGGGCAATAAATATACATATCATTAATTTAGGATTTAATTATGTGTTTTTTCGATATGTTCTTGAAATTGTCATGCTATATAAAATATATTTCAGATACATTATATTCAAGTGTAATTAACATGTCTTAGGATTTAGGATACAATAGAATTCTTATTCACCTCTCACCTTATATATCTGCATTTCAAAATACATTATGCTTTCACATAGATGTATCTAGTGTGATTCACATGTGAATGAGATACATTTTATTCTCTCTTGTCTGTGTATTTGTGTATATTTTACTTAAAATCTTATATGAAATTATTCTTAGTCAGATTTTATATAATTATTTTAAATAATAACAAAAATTAATAAATATAATTGGAAATTAGAAATATATAAGTATAAGATGGTGTTTCCATGATTTTAAAAGATATCTTCTTATTTATAACGGTGATAATTTATACGTAATTGATATGGAGAGCAACAGAAAATATTTTCATAAATTACAAAAAAAAAAAACTTAATAATTTTATTTAGCTACAATTTATCTAATTACGTTTTATAAATATAGTTTTATTTGTTATAAGCGTTTCCTTGTGTATATGCAGCTTGTTAATATACGAACATGATAAGTATATAGTATTAATTATGTACTTATACATTTAAAAAAAATTCAAAACTTATACGAATCAAATATATAAATAAATCATATACAAACAAGATAAACAAATTATATATAAATAACTAGAATAAACATTTAAATTTATACAATTAAAAATTAAATTATACAAATATTAAACGTAAACCATATAATTATGATTATATGATAGAGGAAAAAATAATTTCTTTCACAATGATAAATCTGGAATAATTAATATGTCTTTGCTTAAATCGTATAATTTTTCCACTTATACACAAATAACAACCCAAGGCAAGGGAAAAATATGAGTGGGGTCTACTAGAGAAGATGACAAAAGTGGCAGGTTTGGGTTCGTTGTGAAGAATAGAGAATGGGCCAAATTCCCCAATCCACCCAGCCCTTTCTTGTAGCTCCACGAATCCTACCCGTAAGCCCAACAGCTCATTCACTTTAGCCAATCCCTTTTTCCAATATCCCTAATTTCAAGAAAATAATACTAACGAATATCCGAATAATTTTTTTTCACCTACGTGAGTTATGATGGACTGATGTGAGTGCTTCATCCTTAAATATCGGGCTTAATCCATAGATATGGAAAAACATTATTAGGAGTTTCACTTTAAAAAGACTATGTAGTGTGTGTGATTCAAAATTAATCGACTCCAAATGTGGGCTTCCAACATCAGATAGGAAAATAATAAATAAAAAAACTAACCTTTTTCAGCTCTTCACGCGCCGCAAACCCTATATATACACCTCATTCCCATTGCCTTATGGTTACTTGAAGGTGCCCAAAATCTCACAGCATCTTCTCTTTTTCTAGAAGGAACTCTTTCTGCCCCTTTCTTCTCGCCTTTTCAACTGCAAAATACCTTTTTAATTTCTTACATCGTACTACCCCATTCAAAGCATGTTGAACTCTATCAACGGTACACAAGTGATCAAATTTCTGTATAGTTACGGTGGGAGAATCGTTCCCCGTCGTTCGGATGGAAAGCTTCGGTATATCGGTGGTTTTACCAGAGTTCTCTCCGTTGAAAAGCCTATCTCGTTTTCAGGTGTGTTCATTCATCCGTTTTTATTATTAATTGTTTTTATCATTATTATTTTTTTGGATTTGGAGTTGTTACGGTAGCTGATAGAATGAAGTGATGCAGAGTTGATGGTGAAGTTTGGAGAATCGTGTGGATCGTCTATGAGTTTGAAGTGTAAGTTGCCGACTGAGGATTTGGATGTTTTAGTTTCAATTACTTGTGATGAGGATCTGATGAATGTGATTCAAGAGTACGATCGAGTTTCTGCGTTGACGAATCAGGAGATGAAGATTAGAGCTGTTTTATTTCCTCTCAATTCGGTGAAAAAAGTTTCTCCTCCGTCATCTCCGATGTCGTGTTTTGACTTTCCGGCATCGAGAATGAAGCCGGAAAAGCTCAGATGTTTCTATTCACCTCCGTCGTATGCTGCAGCGGCTGCTGCTAGGTGTTGTTCTCCGGCTTTGGGATATCCAGTCGGCGGAAGGAAAGACGGTGGGAAGTTTTATTACCCTTGCTGTGACCATGGAAGCCCTAGGCACCTTTACTATGTTGCTCAACGAAACCATGGCCAATAGAAATTAAATTGAAGATAATAAGAACAATTAAGTTATTTCAAAACGTATATGAGTAATTGAGCACATAGACAATCTGAAGCTCCTCCTCTCAAAAAATGATGATGAAATTATAAACATTAGCCTAAAGCGATAAAGAGTTACGTATGTTCTATGCTTCAACAAATGCCTCTGGTTCATTGAATTGGATTGTACATTATTTGAGACTGCAGTTCAATTCAATTGTGAGGTGAATTTGACGTATGTTTGCCCATTTTTGGACTTATTAGTATACACAGGCGTGTTATAGTTCGGCGTTTGCCGTCATACATTCATTGGCGACTGGCGTGTTGCTTTAGGATTTCTCCTTTTTTTTCTTCTTTTTTTTTTTTAACTCGTACGTTCAGCCCAATCTTTTAGGCATCGTTTGGGGCCTTCATTGATTCCCTGGGACCATTCTTTCGTGGACACTTGTACATACCATTTAGGCTTCACATACTTTAGGGTTCTATTTATATAACCATATTTAGGGTAATTTGGTACGTTTTAGTTGTTTTTCATTGGTTTCTTCCTTAATTTATGGTGTTAATTTGTTCCTTATTTAACACTTTTACTTTTGAGATATTTCAGGGGACCCATTTGGAATACTGAGCTGGCAAAAAGGATTGGAGCAACTTGCGTGATTTCGTCATCGAAATAATGATTCAAACAAAGCCTTAATTTCTAATTAAGGAGAAATTAATGTATGAAATATATACATTAAACTGACAATAGCTATTAAGACTTCTAAAAATATGTTAATATTATATTTTAATCTCAAATGTGTATCTATAATCATAGGGTGAACAAGTGATGTGATCATAATAAACTACTATTATAAAAATCAAGATGAAAATGAGTGGTTGGACGAGTCAAGGTAACATGGATTGTTCTATGGCGTTTGAAAAAATTATTTTATATTTCGAACCATTTTGTCCTACAAACTAGTGGTCCCAGAGATCATAATTTTGTGAATCTAAGTAATATAAATTTTTGAAAAAAAGAGCTTTTTCTATGCTTTTTTGTGGGGATACAAAGCGCGTACAAACCGAGGTTGGGGGAATTGATTTGTTTGATAGTCCTTTAGACAAACGTGTTAAACCAACGAGTTGGGCTTAGGGATCAAAGTTAAAATATTGAAGGATTGTGCTAAAAGCTTTTTCAATATCGGTATAAATTGTCACACTATTGCTCCAACATAAATTGTTTAAATTTTACTAAATCCATTGGACAAAAGGTTTATTTTACCTTGGCAATAGTCCAAAATTATAAGACTGATAACATTTATTTAACTAATGCAATTTTACTGTGATACTATGAGGAACACAAATAAGTCCATGTGTAGAGGAATGTTAGTTGGTTAGGCCATTGAGCAACTAGTAAATTCAAGGAAAAATTCAAAGTTGGTTAGAACGGCCTAGTACTTTAATAATAAGTATATATGTTCGTCAAATGTCAACAGCTGGAATATTATTAAGGAAGAACAATAAAAGGGCGGTGCATGTTTCCAGGGATTTGGCGAAGAGTCATATTTGAAAGGCTGTGTACTTGGCACAATGGACCAGACGATGTGAATTATTTTAGGAATATGCTAATTATACGAATAAAACTTAATAATTAAACAAATAGGAGTATAACGTGACTACTTTTTTTAAAAAAATTACTTGAATGTACTATGTAAAGAGAGAGAGGAATCGATATATATATGTTAAGGGACCCATTTAATTTAAGTGGAACGGGTCAATTTAATAATTAGTTTTTAAGGGTAGCTTTTTTGTTTCTTTAAATAAAATGTTTTAAAAGAAAATCACATCAGCAACTTTTATTCAAGATCATCTATATTAGTTGAATGACTTAGGAGGTGAAATGAGATTATTTAAATTTCTTTTCGATTACAATACTACTAACTATTAAAGTAACTGAGTAACCTATCTTGAGAATTGCAACTCTTCGAATATTCGTTATAATCACCTAGTCAAACCAAGATTGTAATTTAGGCTAAGATTAATTAGATTAGCAATATTTAACATGTCTTCCCCATCTTAACTAATTTTATCTTTCTATTGTTTCCTTGAGGAAAAATAAAAATAAAAACAAATCTCCAATAATCCTTTTTTTTAAAAAAATAAAACTAAAACTTGTGGAAAGAGAAAATGGGGAGAGGATTACAACGTAGGGATTGAACCCTCACAAATAAAAAGGAGTAAAAAGGAGTGAGTTTAGGTGGCCAATCAATTAAGCTACTAAAATAGAGTCCGGAGTCAAAAAGATAAAAAAATTGTCAAAAATTCCAAAAGGACAAATCAATTTTTTTTTAACTAAAACGACGAAATCGCTCACGATGTAGCGATGATGTCCGTCGAAAAAAGCAAATTCGCTGCTATAACAGCGATTTCTTAAATTTGCTCTTTTTTATTAAAAAAATTATAATTTTTTTTATTTTGAAAATCGCTCCATTTGAAGTGACTTGTTTAAATTTCAATTTTTTTTTAAAAAAAACAAATTTAAGAAATTGCTGCTATAGCAGCAATTTTATTTTTTTTCGACAGACAAAATCACTACACTGTGAGCGATTTAGCCGTTTTAATTAAAAAAAGTTTGATATACCCTTTTAAAATTTTTGATAATTTTTTTCCATGTTGACTCCGGACTCTACTAAAGTAACCAATTTTGTTATCTTTGCTTCGGTTGAGGTAAATACTGAAGATAACGATTGAAAATAAATTGAAAAAGAAAGGAAATCCAGAACCTTTTTTTGGACATTTACAAAAGGGGAAATTGTCTACTTGTACATGACACTAATAATTTTGTCGATTTTCATGATGCAATCAACTGCAAATTCAAAAAAAAAAGAAAAGAAGAGAAGAAAACAATTTGATAATTTAAAATCATTGAATGACTAATGTAGGACATAGGCTCTAGTAGAGATAATTGATAACACATTTACAGAACCCCACTGCCTTATCCTAGTCTGGATTAGTTTTGAGTAAGATCCAGCACCCTAAATGCAAAGTGATAATATATTGAATAAGGAATCACAGGGGCCATGACATCAACATTGGCCCTCAAATTGCATATCACCTTAATTTCTCTACCATAGGTTTATTCATTATTTTGCTTTAGTTTCACTTTCCTACTTTATTCGTCATTACATTTAGTTTTATAATATTTGTTTATGTACACTGATGACACTTTTTTATTTTCTGTAAACATTGTTACAAATGGAATACGTAAGATGAACTAATTCTTTTATATAGACATCAATCTTAAAAGGGTTCTGAATAGACCAATCTATCTTTCTTTAATTGTATCAATGGTGTAGATAATAATGTAGAATATACTTAAATCGTCTTACGAGAGACTGAAAGAACAATTAAACAAGTAAAATAAGTCACTAAAACTCAGCTGTTCATCAGGCATTATTCAGTGTTTTCAAGCTCTACATTTTTAATCGTGAATCGCCTTCATGCTTTCTGGCAGTCAGCAGATTAAATAGTATCGAACTGCATATGAATAGATTCAAATTAATGTAGAAGTCGAAATTTTGTATCACACAAATAACATAATCAAACATAATATATGATTCTTCTGCCAGAAAGCATGAAGCTTCTTCCCATTTCTGTTAGGGAAATGCCAATCATCTCTCCTTGGCTGTACAAAACACTTGAAGTTCAAAGCAATACATAAATTCCAGCAATTTTAGAACCATATACACTACACATACGGATATAAGAAACCAAACAAGGCATTGTCAACCAGTTTCCTGCTCAAAGTCATCACCCTCTGATTCATCGCCATTGTCTGCATCATCATCCTCTGCTTCATTGTCAAAGTCTTCTTTATCATTATCTATGTTAGTCTTCCCAATTACAACTAAGTTGCTGTTCATTTTTCTGATTTCATTACACTGCAATTTACGAAGATCAAGACAGAAAAGTAAGGAACTTTGTAGTACTTGCCAGTTGAAAAATGCAAACATAGATCAAATGGCCAATATTGAGTCGAAAAATAAGCATCCAAGTAAGGCATCTTAATTCCTCGAAATGAAGCCAGACAACATGTGAGGATTGTCCTTTCTGAAAAAAGCCGGACAACACTTTCCTTGTTAGCAAGTCTTAGTGGTGTAACATAGAAAAACTGAGACACCATGCAGAAAAACAGGTCATAGAGTTCAAGATATTCCGGAAATCATTACAAGTTAATTTTTCAATCATTTTCTTGTTTATTTAAGAAAAAACTAACCAACTTAAGTACATAAAAATCAGAGTAATGGGAATTAACATAATTACAAAACTCTTGCACAGCTTAATTATATAGGTTCTGATTTTAGTACCTGCTATCAGCGACATGAAGAATGAAAGTCTTGTGCGAGTACTTTTCATTGTTTAAACTTAAGTAATACAGTCATACTTAAGGTGGGGAACAGGTCCCACAAAAGAGTTAGTAAGGATGAATCCCTCAAAAGAAAATTCTGTACAACTTAAGAAATAATCCTAATGTCCTAAAAAACAAACGAAATTCTTGTAGCAGCTACTACACTAGAATACTAGGTAGATCATCTCCTCACTAAAACTTAAGAGCTAAACCTTTTTTTCTAATGTTTCCCATCTCAGTGTTCTAAGCATTAAAATATACTCTCCAGACTTGTATTCTTATGTACAACCCAACAGAATAGAGATATGGAGAATGATTGTCATTTTGTATCTGGCATTCTCAGCAAACTTTTCCTACTTGCTTGCACTGTACTGTGGCTGCTTCACTTTACATATCAGAGCGAATGCGTGCAAGCACCTCCATGCACCACCTAAGTTGTTACTGCCAAGATACCATCTCAGTTATTTGAAGTTTCATAATCAAACTAGAATATAGCATTTAGATAACTTACGATTAGTGAGGTATCACAGGTTATTGTGTCCCTACAGATAGAAACGTTATCACCTAAAATGCAGCCACCCCCTCCCAAAAAAAAAGCTCTGGAGTGCAAGCTCAACAAACACAAAAGGGGTTTGTATCCAACACCAGCTATGTAGCTAAAATTTTAATAAGAATACAAAATGAACTGTTTCATATGATGAATACTACAACTAGATCAAAGTCCTCAGGATAAAACTAGTTCTAGAAGTCTTGGTAGACAAAAGCAACTGAGTTCTTCTAATTTACTTGTAGAGGTCAGGAGTCCATTGAAAAAGGCATATATGGAATTGTGCATGATGTAAAGCTGAAAGTAGGAAAGTAAATAATCATAAGATGAAGATCTACACACTTAAATATAAGATTTCTAGAGAAACTACTAAACTACAACATGATTTTGTCTCCCTCCGCTTCAGCGTAATTCATTTGTTTTTGTTTCTACCCCCTCCTTTCCCTCTGCTGTATCCTTTATTGCCCTAATTATTTTCACTGGCTTGAATAGCTACAGGTTAGTTGTTGTATCAAAAACCATACATATATCAAATTGTTAATCGTCAGACAGGCAGTGTTCTTCTAAACTGGCAACTCAATATTTAGCTGTTGGCTTCAAACACCTGATTTGTCAATTATAATTAGGTGTGTGTGTGTATATATATACACACATTTCATTAGGAGAATTTAGCCCTCCTAATTTCTTGAACCCAATCGAGTATCAGTAATTTCAAATGACAAACCTTCTATTTAGGTAATTGTCACTAGAAAAAATCCAGAAATAACATCTTACATGAACTTTTTGAACTGGGAGCAATTAAGTTCAGATTCATGAATACAACTTTTTCTTCTTTTATGAATAGAACTCACTGATGTACAATATCAAATGGAACAATATGTATGGTGATTAAAAACTAAATACAGGGATGTTGAAGCCAGAAGGGATGTATTTTGTGGGAGACCATATGAAAAGCTAAAAGAAGGACCAACACACAAAATAAACACTGATAAAACATAAAGCTTTTCTGTGGAAAATGAAATTATGAAGGCAAGTGAAGAGGAAATGTTTGAAGTCTTATGTATATATCCTAGATCTATAGACAGCTCCTCTTCATCTTTTATTTATAAAAATGATGTTGGTGAAGTGGTTCAACTTGATCACACCTCTATAATTCCTCCGGGTACATGCTACCTCCCACCAGCACAAGTATCGAGTAATCCTGTCCACCAAGGCGTAGACAAATGGGAAGAAGACACCTAGTGTTTTCGGTATTAGTTGGGATTTGAACCCTTGTTTATAAAATTAGCACCCACTTCATCGACCACTCGGCGTCACAGTCATTATCCAAGCTAGTGGTAGAAGCCATCCAACAACTTTGTGAAGACTAACGCGGATGGTAGCTGCAAGGAAGGTTACTGTGGAGGCGGGGGAGTGATAAAGGATCAATTGGGCTCACTAGTTTTTGCCTACTCTTTGAACCTCGACCAAGGAACTAGCAATTGGGCAGAGGCAAAAGCTATGTTGTATGGAGTTCAATGGTGCATCAGTAATGGATACGAATTCATTTTAGCAGAAAGCGACTCCAAGTTGCTAGTGGATTGTGTGAACGACTTAAGCATCATCCCGTGGAGAATACAGGATGAAGTCAAGGAACTGAAGGATCACATGGAAAATACTGTATTCATCCTTAATCTCTGCTACAGAGAGGCAAATAAGGTGGCTGATGCACTAGCATCCATGAGCTTCTTGAATCCTTGCAACAATCTATATAAAGATTTTGCATTCCTTCCTTTTGGAGTGAAGGGACTCATGACCATGGACAAATGGGGGCAGACCATTTCCGAACCAAACAAAAGAAGAAGCAAGATTTCATATGGGATCCTCCATAAAGAACCTTGCGTCGACTAGTCAACTATAACTTTTTGCACACAGGCTCCTAACTAAGAAAGCCAATCAACAAATGCCATCTTTTGTATTTACTTCATCTCATATAGGATCTTGGTATCCTTCGTATCCAGCTGGAAGGAGTAATTCACTCATAGTAACCTCCCTCAGATCATCAAGTACCTTTTTGATGGAAGATGAATAAAATACAATTTCCGGAAAAAAAAACGCATCACTTCACACTCCATAAAAGAAATCTTCAATGTTCTTAACACCAGGGAAAAAGGCCAGTCAGGAAAAAGCTCCTAGAAATCTAGAGCCTTGTGCAATAGGCGTTTCATTGGGAACAATTTTCATCTTAAATTGACAGTATTTCTGTCTCTTCAAAACATCATATCACTTAAGAGCACAGAATCGCTTCATCTTTCTTATGTACATTGAAATAAATATCTCTAGTGCTTATTCGTTACTATTTGCGACTACCCACTCCGTTAAGGTTCATCTCGAACCCTAACACAAATTCAAAAATTTCTTTCAAACATGCATTACATATTTACCATATGGCATCACTGATACACTCATTTTGCGAATTAAACAGTATACATTTATAATAAAACCTAATTGTAAACTGTTGATACCCAAAGATAACATTTACAAGCAACGATATAAAGAGAGAGGGGAATGGCGTACCTTTTCTTCGAAATCAGATTCCTCCATAGCAAGGAGGAGCTCGTCGCTGTGAGGCTGAGGCCACTGAGCAGGGAGCAAAAACGACGTCGGAATGATCCGAGTAGAGCATGGATACTGTAACATGAATGATGGATACTGCAACATTTTTTCCTTTCCTTTCTTCCCCATTTCTCTCTCTTTGTTGATGTTATTGAATTACTATTGGGCCTTGTTTGTTTGGGGGTCCATAAAGGCCCATTCTTTCTTCTGGAAACTGTATTTTTTGAGTAGAAAAATTTTCGTCTATACACGTGACATCTAATAAATACTAGCATATCTTTTGCCTAGAATATTACATTACTTTGTATTTTGTGTGTATATTTTAGGTAAGAATACAAAGAGTTTTATAGACGGCATGTGTGAATCACAAATATAAACTTCAAATGTACTGTGTATCAATATGTAAGGATACATATATAGGTTTTACGCACGGTGAATGTGTAAATAAAAAATATGAATTCTAATCCAAATTTCAAATAAAATTAATAAAATAAAGCTCTAGCTAAATTTGAACTCTAGTTTACGGATGGTTCTTCTAGCTGGAAGCAGCGGTACAAAGGCCATTCTTGTGCTCCTCATGTGTGCATTTTTAATTATATTTTAGTTTCTGTCAGTTTCTCAAGATATATATATATACCTGATTTCGAAGTTAACCGATGCACACAACTTTTGCCTATGAGTCCGCCTATGAATAGAAAGTCAATGGTAGGGACGTCGGAGAGGGAAGGGGAGGGCTCCCTTTTTGTTGCTCCCTTTGTCCCTAATTAGTTGTTTACTTTTGAATACATATATTATAAAATAATTATTGACATAGTGAATTTACCATTTTACCCTATCAATCGTGAAATAAATGAATTAATTTTTTTAAAGATTTTCAAGAAGTTCTAGTTTTTTTCGAAGTAATTAGTTGAAGGTATAATAGATAAAAAAAAATACTATCTTTTCTTGATTTGTCAAAATAGACAAGTAGTTAGGAATAACTAAAAAAATAATTAGGGACAAAGAAAAAAAAATTTATCAGCGCCGGGTGTTTACACCAAATTAATACAATTTTCATTATTATGTGATTTTAGTAAGTTAAAACACATGTTAATAAATAAAATGAATTGTAAATTTAAACACATGACGTGCATGTATTGGATTAGTGTAAACATATAGTGCAGATAAATTTTACCCGGGACAAAGGACTATTAAATTTCCTTTTAATTTTCATGAACTTCATTATTTACCTTTTTTTTGAAACTTACGCATGCCGTTTAATGATTTAATCTACATACACATTAGCTGAAATTACAAGTTAGGTGTGATGTTTGGATTTAACGGTTCACGAGATATATTTATGTCAAAATAAAAATATCTAGTTAAGTATTGACAAAATTAAAACATCCGTGGAACAATTGAAGCCACTCATTTTCGTTATGTTATTATTGTATTCCAACTTAAATGGACTAATTATGCGGATTTTTCTTTAAAACGGCAAGCGTATGAATAAAGCTGCACTTTGAATGATACGAAGAGTAAAGAGTACCTGTATACAAACGGTAGCAGTTTAAATTTTCATTTTATTCTATGTAAGTAATTTGAATTTTCTGTGTGGCAATCTTTTGATTTTATAATTTTCTTGGAGCTTACTCTCACGTGGCATAAAATTTTCAAAATCAAAGCTCTAGGCGTTGCCCAAGAGCATCTGTTTTTCCTTGGGGAAAGAGAGTCAGAATTCCATGCATGCATGTATACGTTCTATTCGTTGCACGGAAAAAGAGACCATTATTTATTTGATTAATTTTTTTATTAGAGAAACTTTTACGTATAACTTAATTACTCTTTATAATTATTAATTATTATTTGATAACTATAATTCGTAGCTATATATTATAAAAAAGAGAGAGGCGAATGAAGAGGGCAAAGATTGGTATCGATTAGAAAAACTGTATATTATACATATTTATTTATATATATTATAAGCGTGATTGTGAGAGAGAAAAGAAACAAGCGAAATTGGGAGAGAAAGAGAGTGGCGAGTGAGACTGGGAGAGAGGAGAGAGAGAGGACAGAGAATGAGAGAGAAGTGAATTGTATATGTATATCGATTAGATGATTGTATACTATACATATGCATTTGTATATATACAGGCGAGAATGGGAGAGATAGGAGAGAGACGAGCGAGATTGGGAAAGGGACAGAGAGACGAGCGAGAGAGGGCAAAGAGTGAGAGTGAGGTGAATTATATATGTATATCAGTTAGATAATTGTATATTATACATATGTATTTATATATTTTGGCTAATTATACATATACAAACATGACTAATTATATAAATTTAAAGTCAGCCCACACAATTAACGTTTAATATTAATCACAAATAATAATTATAACAAATTATAAATATAATATAAATAATATAAATTTGCTTAACCGCATAATTTTTACTTTTTATTTATCTAACTTGACTCACCTTTAAAAGAAACAATTAAAATGAGATTGGAAAAAAACAGGGTGTAGATAACTCACTCTCCTGATAGCAATTGATCAATGTAGTAAGCAAAGCTTCACCTAAAGATGTTGGCAGCTCCTCTTTTCTATGATGGCTGTTTATTGCTTACTTTTTTTTTCGGTTATACATTATTTATATTATAATTTAATTAAATTAAAATTCATGCGTTATAAAGTTTACTTTTTAGGTGCAATACTTTTAATAATATTTTTTTTTAAAAAAGATTTCTATTCAAGAATTAGAGGGAGGTTTACCATTCCACTGAAGTCATATTCATCTTGTAGCAATTGGATAAATTTTTTTACATTTTTCTTCCTTTATTTATTTCCGTGTATTAGTTTGATTAAAAAATTTTAAAAAATAAAATAAATAAATATTAACTTTTGAACAGTGTGATTTTCATATAAAGAGTGCTATTAATCATAAAAATAGTACCTTTTTTTTTATTTTATAAATAACCTAAACAAGAAGATAATCACACGTGTAAACTCGGGATGTCCTAAAGAACAAAATTTAAGGATTTAATCTAGTGCTTTAACTTTCTATCAAACTCATCATGTATTATTTATTTAGAACAAAACATTTTTTTTGTCTAATTAACAAATTGTAGCCAAAATTTCCCCTTTAAGTTAGTAATTTTTAAACAACTTAAATTATAACTTAATAATAAGACCATTTCATCATTAATGAAAAATAATTAACCTAAAAATATAAAGAAAATTTTATTAAAAACACCATATAACATCTAAATTATTACCCACTCCATGCCAAAAAGAAGATAACATTAAAATGCTATCCAATTCCATCGGATTAACAAATTATTTCAAAGTTCAAACCGCCTCCTCTATTTCTCAAAAATGACACAATCTGCCCCCCTCGTGTCACTTATCAAACGAAACCACGTTGCTTCATGGCTTCTACCATGAATTCTTTCTCTTCCCCAACAAGCTAACAACTTAATAATTAATAATTAGTAGAAAGACGAATGCACATGCAATTCATTTTCTAATTGTACTTATATATATATATATATATCCCCTGCAAAGCAAAATCAGGTCGGCACATCACGTTTTGTCGTTGGGAAAAACAAAATTGAACTGCAGTTGATTGATAAAGAATGAGACTTTATGTGTATTTATTGGAAGGCAAGGATTGGACAGTGGAGGATTCTTATGTGAAGTTAAAAATCGGCAAGTTCAAGTCGAAGACTAGGGTGTTGAAGAATACGAAGAACCCTATTTGGAATGAAGAGTTTGTATTCAGGGTTCACGACTTAGAGGATGAACTTGTTCTATCCGTTTATCAGCATCATGATAATTCTGGAATTTTTAATGTTTATGGAGATTTAGTTGGCAAAGTGAAAATACCTGTTTGGTCTGTTGCTGCTGAGGAAAATCACAACTTGCCACCTACTTGGTTTTCAATTAAAAAACCTAAAAGTGCAAAATCTGTTGACAAATATTGCGGTTAGTGTGTTTTCGTAGTTTTCATCTTTAATTAGTACAATGGAAGATTGAACAGTGACAAGCTATGGATGATATAATGTGTAAATGCGTGACGTTTTATTTTAGCTTTTGAATTTAATTCGATTGAAGAACAAATGCGAATTACCTATTTTGATTGCTCTTTATGTACATTGTTCTATTAAGTTGCCCTGCTTGTGCTGATTCTCCAAAGAATGACAAAAAGCTTTAAGTTTGTTATTTAATAAGTAGACTATAAATCACAAGCCTGTACTTTTTTGTTTACGAAGACTCGGATTTGGGAGGTAATCTTGATGATAAAGATCCGCTTCAGGTTATTTGATCACTTTTGCAGGGGAGCGAGCTCTTTCTTGGCAGTCTAGATTAAAGAAGTGTATTGCTTTATCCATTGCAGGAGCTGAATATATTGCTATAACTGAAAGAGCCAAAGAATTGTTGTTTTCGATGAAGGAATTTATTCGAGATCTTGGTTTACTAAATTACCTAGTTTTAAAAGGGGTTGTTTTTATTGGCATGTTCTTAGGTAGAAATCCAAATCTTTTTGTGGATATTGGAACTGTTTGGTGGTTTGATGATTTATTTTTGTACTTAGTGTTCCTTGGTTTGGAATTTGAAGCAAATGTTTTTGTCTTACTGATGCAGGGAAGGTTCTTCTCACTGTTTCTTTACATGGGAAGGGCAAAGGTTTATCCACCAACCACGTCGGTTATGTAAATCCAACAAATGATACTTCTAAAGAAACTGAAGTGACAAGCATTCCTTCTCAAGATTTCCATGATTTTGCAGCTCATTCCAAGAAAATTTCAGAAGGGAAACATTTAATGAAGAACATTGCTTGTCATTTTGAGAAGCTTTTCAGCAAGAATGAAGAAGCCAAGAAAAGTGACGAGGAAGAAGTGAAGAAGGATGATTCTTCTGACGTTTCCACCATCACATCTGACTTCGGAGACCCTGTGGAGGAGCCTCCGGTCAGCTGTAGCTTTGAAGAAGTGATTGAGCGAATGCAGCCGACCAGTGAAGATAAAGAAATGCCTGGGGACCTGCAGGGTGGAGTCCTTCTAGACCAGACATATGTTCTGCCTTCAAAAGAACTTAACATGTTTCTTTTCACTCCTAGTTCACAGTTCAGGAAGGATCTGGCGGAGTTGCAAGGTACAACAGATGTTCAAGAGGGTCCTTGGACATGG